GCAAAGTGTTTGGCACATACATGGAATTTTTTGTAGACAAAATATAGGAAACATAAAATGACAAAACTTAGGTGGATTCAAAAATCAAAAGCATGTTCATAGCATGTTCTTCATGTTCATGTGAGACTCAACCTAAAAATTAGAAAAGCATGGCAAATACCTAACAATGGAAACCTAAAATGTTCAAGGAAGGTTCACAAGGAACAAGAATATGAACCCAAAGCATTCGGCCATACAAAGAAAGGGAAAAAGGAAGACAAAGACCGAATGGAAATAAAATGATAAGAAGACAAGGAAGACAGAGTTTTTACCCTTGATGAACCTTGGCTCTAGATACCACTTGATGGGATCCTCCCTTCCATGGATGATTTTGACTCTTGAAGAGGGAATCCTTGCCCAAAGATCTTAGGCTCACCAAAGGGAAGAGGTTATGTGGATGTTTAGGGGAAGATGGTTTTGGGACGTCAAGATGATGAAGGGTGAAGGATGGTGTATGGTTGCTCAAGGTTGGCTCACTCCAAGTGTAGATGGAGGCCACTCTAGGGTTTCACTCTCCAAGGGTGGAGAATGAAGGGGGTTAGCCAAGGTAGGGTTAAGAAGTTACAAAACAATGGAAACAAAACTAATCAAGGATGCTTGAAGAAATTCCACCAAGGGTGTTTGGAGGCAAGCTTGGACAGCCTTGGAGTCATGTGAAACGTCCCAAATTGGTCTCCACCACTCCTTCTTTAAGTGTTCCAAAACCGTCACCAAGTTCTCAAAAATCCGTCACTAATTTTCTTCCAAAATCCGTATCTAACTTTGACATAAAAATCAAAACAAGTCTTGGCTGCAAAAATAACAAACAAGTGAGCCTTTCCAAGGTGTTTCACTCAGGTTATTTGTACCTCAATCTCCTTCAAGTGTAGACCCCTTTGAGATTAGCCAATATGTCTCAATTAGTCCTTCCTTCCAAGTGTGATGGCTTGAAAAGTATTATGTCTCACCAAGGCTTAACAAACCATGGACCTAGTGACAGGGCCCACATGTGTCTTCAAGGATGGTCCTCCATCTCAAAACAAAGAGAGCCAAGAAGACACAAAGCAACAATTAAAGGCTAATTTCAAAAGCTAGCACACAAAAGATTAGTCCTAGGAATGGCAGTTCAACCTTGATGCAAAGTTGAACCAAATCATTCAAATCCCTATAAGGTAAAAGCTCAACCTTATCTCTTATTTCAAAAGTGAGGCCACTAAAAAATCTAGCAATGGTAATGTCCTCTTCTGCTCTAATGCCAACACTCATCAAATATAACTCTATGGTTTGTCTATATTCCTCAATAGTCATGTTCTTTTGATGGAGTTTTTGGAGCTTATTGATAAGCTCCCTAGTGTAGTCTGAGGGAATGTGTCTCCTTCTCAAAGCACTCCTTAACTCATTCCAATATTGAATTGGAGGGTCATTATGGAGGCGCCTATCCCTAACAAGGGATGTCCACCAATACATGGCGTGGCCTTGGAAGCTCATGGTGGCAAGAGACACTTTTCTTTCTTCACTCACTTGATGGCAAGTGAAGATTTGTTCAACCTTCATTTCCCAATCAAGGTACCCCTCCACATCATCCTTGCCATGAAAGTAAGGGAGATCTACCCTAGATTCCCTAGCTTTGAGGGTCCTATGTACTCTTCTAGGAGGTAGTTGAAAATGATCTCCTAAGGCTAGGCTATCATCATGCATGGATTCTCCTATGGTTGAACTATGAACTTGAGAGCTATGTCTACTTCGATGTCTATTGTGCAATTTTTCTTCTTTTTCCTTTAATAGACGAATTTCCTCTTCCAAAAGAGAAAGTTGAGCCTTTCTTTCAATTTTTTATTTAAGTCTATGTTTAGCCTCTTACTCTTTCCAAATCTTTAGTGATCTTAATTCATGTGCTACCTTTGAAATGTCATTGTAGTCACTTGAATTACTATCACTATGAGGAGTAGAAAATTCTTCCATTATAGGTGAAAGATTTTGTTTTATGAAAGACTTTTTGAAAGCAATTTTTAAAGGTTAAGACTAAGTACTTGGAGGACTAAGTATACAATTTGAACTTTGGATGGAGGTGAGCTACTAAGAGCCACTTAATAACCAAGCTTCTTCAAGTAAAAATTATTAATCCCCCTTGTAGTTAATCCTCACCTAAAACCTTTTTCAATGAAAATAATTTTATGATTTTGATGTGATGAATAAGCTAGACGAAGTAAGTAATTAAAGACAAAACAACTTGCAAGAATTTAAAACTATCTAACGGATCCCTAAGGTGAAAGCTTGAGAGGTACCAAAGACGACCAATCAAGGACCACTTCCACCAAGTCTAGCGAAAATTAGGGTTCTTAAAGGAGAGATGGTTGTGTACCAAAGACACTCACAAGACACTCCAAAAATGGCCAATTACAAATGAAATAAATGCTGGACAGAAAAGTAAACAAGTGGCTTTCAATGAAACAAAAACAGCCACCAAGTTTAGTGATGAAATTAGAGACCACTTTTGTAAGGAAAATTCAAATTAGTGATGGAAAATTGGTTTCTAAATTCGTCACTAATACTCTATTTTTTTTAAATCAATACAATTTGATTTATTTCTCCAATGGATCTTCACAGCTTTGTAAGGTGCAACAACCACAAAAATTTCCAGCAACTTTAAGTGTTTGGTGTTTTTTTTAGCAGCCACCCGAAATGGTCTCCTTTGTCACCTTTCCTCCTCCTTATCTTAGTCCTCTTTTGATGACCCTTGTAGAACTAGTTTCTATTGAAATAGACTAGGTCAAAACTAGGCCACACTTTGAGTCTAATGTTAGGTACAAACAGCCAAGACAATATAGAGATAACCAAGACAAGAGTAGAGTAGAAGAGTAGACAATTTTAGATGAACAAAGGAATTGATTAGGCTAGTACAAGAAGGAAAGATCCTAGATAGGTTCCATTGGGAATTATGAAGATGAGGTACTATGTGATGTAGTACCAATGGAAGATTTTCATATCTTATTAGGAAGGCCATGACAATATGATAAGAAAACCATGCATAATGGCCTTACTAACGAGATAACCTTTACACATAAGGAGAAGAAATTTGTGCTTCATCCTCTTTCTCCTCAACTGGTGGCTGAGGATCAAACATAAATGAAACTCAAAAGAGAAAATGAGAAAAGGTTTCAAAAGAAAAGAAAATAGAGGAAAAAAAAGTCCATGAAAACTAGGACTAAAGAGAAATCTAGGGAGAAAGGAGTTCCCTCCCTAGAAGTTGTTGATCAAGAGAAAGAAATTTCTAAACAAAACCTCTTGATCAAACAACCCTCTTTTATCCTTCTGTGTACAGGAACTCTAACTTGCACTACCACATCTAGTGGACATGAGACTCTACCTAAAGGGGTCAAAACTCTTTTGAAAGAATTTGATGATCTATTTCCTCCCGAGGGTCCAATGGGCCTTCCTCCTTTAAGAGGGATAGAACATCAAATTGATCTGGTGCCTGGTGCTAACCTACCCAATAGACTAGCCTATAGGACCAACCCCCAAGAGACTAAAGAAATAAAGTCTCAAGTTCAAGAGTTGTTGGAGAAGGGCTGGGTTCGAAAGAGCTTAAGTCCTTATGATGTACCTGTGTTCTTAGTCCCTGAGAAGGATGGGAAATGGAGAATGTGTTGTAATAGTAAAGCCATCAGCAACATAACTGTAAAATATAGACATCCTATCACTAGGCTTGATGACATGCTAGACGAACTTCATGCAACCATTATATTTTCTAAAGTTGATCTAAAAGTGGGTACAATCAAATTAGAAGCAAAGAAGGAGATGAATGGAAGACCGCTTTTAAGACTAAGTTTGGATTATATGAATGGTTAGTAATGCCTTTTGGGCTTACTAATGCTTCTAGCACCTTTATGCGTCTCATGAATCATGTCTTAAGGGATTGTATGGGTAAGTTTGTTGTAGTTTATTTTGATGACATCCTTATATATAGTAGGTTCCTAAGTGATCACATAGGAAACTTAAGGCAAGTCTTTAAAATTCTTAGAAAAAACCAATTTTTTGGAAATCTAGAAAAATGTACCTTTTGTGTAGATAATGTTGTTTTCTTAGGTTTTATTATTAGTAAAAAAAGGTTCATGTGGACCCCGAGAAAATCAAGGCCATCCAAGAATGGCCCACTCCTAAGAGTGTTGGAGATATTAGGAGCATCCATGGGTTGGCTAGCTTCTATAGGAGGTTTGTTCCTAATTTCTCCACACTCGCCTCCTCATTGTAATGGCATTGGTTGTGATGTTAACAATAGTAATTTTGAATTTTTTCTTTGTGAATTTAAGTTAGTCTTTTAATGTAAGTAGTTTATTGTGATTTAAGCATTGAAAATGATCATTCTTATTCTCATATAAGAAGGTCATTTTCATGTGTGTTCTCATAAGATAAGCTACATGAGTGCATCCTTTGTCGTGTGTATTTTCAACTAACAACCATGTAACGTATGTGTGTATTTTCAACTAATAATCCTTTGATGTGATGGATATTACTATCACAACTGTTATATTCACTATTATCCTGTCATTGTCACATGACAACAACAATGATAAAAGTGATGACAATAACAATGATGATAACAATAATGAATATTATTCAAACGAAAGGTAGGACACATTGACCCGAGGGGTTGCATGTATATTTTACTTGTGCCTAATAGATTTTACACCAATTAAGGGGTATCAAAACCCTCCCAAGTTCAAGGATGGTGTGAAATTCGCCCATTTTTAATACTTGAAACTCAAAGTAAATACATTTAATATTTTATTTATAAAAAGTATTTGATACCTTATTTAATTTTAAAAAAAATATATTTTCCTCATTTAGTGAGAAAAATAGTAAGAAGATGCTTTACCTGATTTTAAATATATTTTAGAGTTTTAAAATTTAAATGAAAATTAACATACCACATTTAATATTTTAACCTCCTGCACTTAGAAAAAAAGACAACCAAAAAAAAAAAAAAAACTCATGCGCAATGTTATTGGTAAAACCAATAAATTAGAGTCATAGGCATAGTTTTGAGAGTTTCTAAGATCATTAACACTATGAGAAGGCTAACAAAGCTATTTACATCAATTACATGGTGTGATGGGAAGTTTATACGATTTGGGTTATTCACTCTGTTCAAATGCCAAAAATCTGTCTCCAACATTTGTCTAACATTTTCAAACTTATTCTTCCCTATGCATCTAAAGTCCTAGACTAATTATGTGTGTGATTCACATAATTTGACTACATCTCTGCAAGTGAAGTTCTACTTGTTTGACAAGAATCTCATACAGATTGGGGGCTGAACCTTAAACAAAGCAAGAACAGAAGAAGGGAGAATCCAGAGTCCATCTCCACAAATCAAACCAGAAGCCACAGCTGGTATCATCAAACTTGCATCATTTCTTTTCAGTGTGTGCCACAAATACACAAGCAAACTACCCATACACATGTCAATTGCAAAGTATCCACCTACCACAAAGGGCACAGCCATTGCCATTGGAAGTGGAATCCATCTCCCAATGCTTTGGGGGCTCAAATCTCTCACCAAGTTGGCTGCAACAGCAAATGCAAAGAACCCACAGCAGAGCTGCAAGCAGTGGCGTGGGAGAGCAGAAAAGCCTTCAACACCAAGAATTGCCATGTTTCTATATATGATGGCATATGGTGCTTTGTATTCACCATATGGATTCCCCACATCAAAAGCCTTGTAGAAAAGGAAGAATGTGAGAGGACCAATCACACATCCTACTGCTGTTCCAATAGCTTGACTAACAAGCATCGACCGAGGAGAAGTGAGGGTCAGATGGCCTGTCTTGAAGTCCTGCATCAGATCAGATGAGGTGGAAACAAGAGACTTGATCACACCGCATCCAACAAGTCCGGCCACCACGCCGTGGCTTTTACCGCCCAAGGCAGCGAGCACAAAGAGAGCCACCTTCCCATAGTTGTAGGCCATGTTCATGTCAGTTAAGCCGGAGCCATAGGCATTGCAGAAGCTGAGAGTGGGTGCAAGCAGATAGGCAACCACCACATAGTACCACTTCACCTCAGGGAAAATCAAAGGGATGATTGTGATAGAAATGGCAGAGAACAGTATGTAACCTGTAAATGCTAACCATATTGGAATGCTTTCTCTCACAAACACTGCATTCCGTTTAAGATCGTCAGGAGGCTGCTGCTGCTGGCTCTGGCTATCAGAAATTGAAACTGCAGTGGATATTACTCAGAAATGTGACTCACTGATATTACAAACCATTCTTCAGCTCAGATCACTTTTGGTTGGTTAAACATCAAATATGACTCATTGATATTAGAAACCACTATTTGGGAAATGTTGAATGGGCCTATTTTATGTTCAAAGCAGCCTATATAATCAAAAAATGTTGCAGAGCTAAATGGCTGAAAAACTATTTTGATTAAACATTTAAGCATAACCAAACATGTGCCTAGTTGATTAAACCGAAAAATGAAAAATGAAATTAGAATTAGAGCTACACTCCTTACAAGCAAACACACAATATCCTAACCCACCAAAACATTTCCACCTTACTCTACTCTTGTGTACCTCTCCCAGATGCTCCCCCCCCCCCCCCCCCCCCC